TTTGTTGGAAATGGAAATAAACGAAATGAAATGAAATGGTGTACCCCTCCCTCTTCAAGTACTTACGTCACTAGAAAACCCATACAAACTGCCTGTCAAAGCTGTGCTTAAGTAAGACTCATTACTCCACTGAGATTTCTTTGTGTACCTATTAAGGGTAACAATAGCAACAACTGAATAGAGCAGAACAGCTGAATAGCCTGACACCGCGCAACCTTTCTTGTAAGGCAATACGTTAACATACTCGCAATAGAAAGGACGATGATAGCCATGGAAAGTTGCGAGGTAGCACTTTTGTTGATGAAAGTCTGCGAGGCTTGAAAAATTGCAACTTATGTCAGGAAATTGTTACTGTGCCACACGAGGTCCGTGTCCGATGCACAAGGCGTTATACCACTACCACTAATTACGCCAAATGATGTTCAAGTCAAGAGAATCCATGCAAAAGTAAGTATTGAACTACAGATAACGACGGCTGCGATTTTATGGCTGGAGTGGTCAAGCAAAATATAATTTTCTTTAAAGATGTCATCATTTTGTTAACACTATATCCTCTCGCCTGAAACGAGCATTCCAAGACAAGGATATTGGTGTTGCCGTCAGAAGCCCTACCACCAGGGCCGTAGCCAGAGTTTGATGTTCAGGGGGAGGGGGGGGGGGGCACATACATGAAATTGATCGACGTCCTGGAAAGGGATCTAAAAAAGTTCAACCGATCTAGGAATTTTGTTCGGAGGCACGTGCCCCCCCCCCCCGTGGCTAGGGGCCTGCCTACCACACTAAAACGTAGGTTAGTCCATCCAAAAGACCAAAATCCAAGAGAGGAAAAGCCCGCCCCCCCCCCACTCTGGGAACGGAGGGACCGCATGCGTGTTCCCAAAATCTCCGGTTCGTAACAAAAGAAAAAGGTCTACCCATATTGACATTACATTCCGGACTTATGCTGATAAGGGGGGGGGGGGTGTGCTGAAAAGGCTCGTATAACAAAAGAAAAAGGTCTACCCGTTGACTTTACACACCGAACTTATGCTGAAAGGGGGGGGGGGGGGGGGTGCTGGGAACACGTATATGCATAACCTAAATAACACTGAGTGGGGGCCGGGAGGAAAAGTGTACAAGATTACTTGCACACATTGTAACAATAATGTTTGTCAAACTGGCAGAACTCTTAATGAGCGACTAATAAGGGAGTTTACAGATAGCACATGATACAAATGACCCCAAATATCCACAGATTTTTTACACATGGAGAAGTTCCACTTTGAGCATCTTAGAATAATAACTGCCAAAGTCCTAGATGTACGTGCTTCATGAATACCTTTTGTTTGTCCTCTTGAAAAGAATACTTCCACCTGCGTATCATAGAATGTACCGTTGGTGCATAAATGAATAATGTTACATAACTTTCATGAGCTCATATCCAGTATTCATCTCTGTGGGTTTTACCATTTTGGTACAAATGACCTTTATCTGCCCATGCGCAGATTGAACTGGCTTATTAAAAGAACACAAAAGAGCCCTCAGATTGAGTATCCCATTCAGCTTTAGCCGAAAACACAGGACATTGGATGGGATGATGCCCTCATTAGTGACTTTGAAAATAACTTCTGGTCAAGAAAGGTGAAAAAAGAGTCAATATGGATTAAGAGGATTAATCCTACACTAAACAGGGACTCTGGATACCTATTGTCACCTATCTTGGGTCCAGTGATCGCAAGACACCAGGTAGCACTGAGAAAACGTGTGACTGATCACTTGGCTTGAGGAAATCCACAGGAGTGATCGAAAGCTTGCCCACATAATTCAAGGTTGGTAGAAGTTTTAAACATTTCATTATATGATTATCCCAAACCGATGAAAGTTTTCATTTGTTTGTGTAGATCGATAGGCCAGTTTTCTGTCGAAAGTCTCCGAGTCGATTTCGGCCAAATCCGAAACGTTGTGATACGCCATATATCCCACCTTGATTCGAGGTTAATGTCGTTGGCTATAGATTGCACCTTAAATGGCTCAATAGGCCATTTTTTGTTTGTGAAGTGTCTCGATTCGAATTATTCTATTCACCTATTTTACGAATAATTGTATTTTAGTCATCAGAATGCAAATTTCATAATCGTGTCGTTAGGTAGGGCAAGCCATAATGTTAAATCCTACCCAGCAACAACTAACGTATGCAAGCCGCATTCTGGCTATTGGGATACACTTATTCGTAACAGGTAAATGAAATAGTTCGTAACGAGGCACGTTTCAAAGGCTTACCATTAAACTAGGCCATTTACGTAATGTAACCAAATTTAATACACAGGTCTTTGTGAAGTGCCTCATTACAAATTATGTCATTCAACTGATGAGAATAATAGTATTCCAACAGTTAGAATGCAAACTGTATATGATAAGCGTTGCTAGGCAGGCCCGGATCCATGGGGCGGGGGGGGGGGGGACGGACCTGGTTCCCCCGGGCAAAACAAAACAAAAATTGTCACGAATTAGGCACACACAAACGAAAATAGTGCTCTTACCCCTCCCCTCCCCTCCCCCCCCCCCCCCGCTTATTCACCGACTGGCTAAGTCCTGAAAAATTGGACCTTCCCCCCTAAAAAAATTGCCTCTTACCCCCCCCCCCCCCTCTTGCCGTCCGCTGGATCCACCACTGTTGCTAGCTAGGTAGGGCAAGCCATAGTATACAAATATACACTGCCTTGAGAGGTTCTGGTTAAAACTATGCGCAAGAGGTGACTCCAATAGTACTATTTGCTGAGGGGCACAGCCCCGAAGCAAATGGTACTTTTGGAGTCACCGAGGCCCATAGTTTAACCAGTACCTCGAATAGAAGGCATGGTATATATGTTTTATATCCTGCATCAATTTTTTTTTTTCAACTCCCAAATAGTAAACCAAAATATAACTCTCATATAGTACTTTCTAAGAATAGGTCAAATATTTCTGGTCATGTGACGAGCTCTCAATCAATCAATCAATCAAAAGCCAACAAATTTTTGATGCAGGATTTAAAATAGAATATATTTAGAGGCACTTCACATTACAAAAATATCCTATTGGCTACTTTATGAATAAAATCTATTCCAATGATTCCTCGTGTCCACCTGGCTAATGTCCGTTGCATACGTGGCGACGTTTTGTTTGCGTTGTCACCTGCGCTAATCGGGCCTGTGAAGGCAATCATATTACAAAAGTTTCTCTCCCTGACTTCTGGTTACTAGCCATTTCATTCACCTGCTATGGAAAATAGCATCTCTACATCGATGTGATCCACTTCGCATACATGAGTTGTTGCTATGTCGGTAAATCTTTAGGCAGGCTTAATTGTCAAGAGAAACTTTTGTTTAAAACGTTTGTATAAAATTATCAAACGAGTCTATTGAAGTATTATACAAATATACACTGCCTTGAGAGGTTCTGGTTAAAACTATGCGCAAGAGGTGACTCCGATAGTACTATTTGCTGAGGGGCGCAGCCCCGAAGCAAATGGTACTTTTGGAGTCACCGAGGCCCATAGTTTAACCAGTACCTCGAATGGAAGGCATGGTATATTTGTTTTATATCCTGCATCAAAAATTTATAAAAAAAAAAAAAAAAAAAAAAAAAAAACATTTTTGGGAAAAAAAAATTTAGAACAAAAAAAAATGTCAATTTTTATCTAAAATGATTTAAAATATTTTGTTTTCATTGAATTAAGATTTGAAAAAAATAATTGATTCAATTAAAAAAAAAAAAAAATAAATAAAAAATTTCAACTCCCAAATAGTAAACCAAAATAGTACTCTCATATAGTACTTTCTAAAAATAGCTCAAATATTTTTGGTCATGTGACGAGCTCTCAACCAATCAGAAGCCAACAAATTTTTGATGCAGGATATAAACACAAATATGCCATTATTTCAAGTAGGCCTATTGTTTTTGTTACTGTTTGGATTTTTTCTTCTTATCACTATCACATGGTGCGTCAACTACCGCACCAGTCGCTGACGCTTACGTCAGACATTTGGCGCATCGCGTGCAGTGAGTTTTTTCATTGTCTCTCCAAGTTTACCGTTTTGCCAGTGAGTTTCAATTGTTTTCATATTCCACTCTTTGTGTTTCAATCCTTTGAGTATCATTCACTCCAGCGCTTCACTTGATAACACTTGATATTAATCATCATCCTTTTTATGTGAGGATGTCGCTTATATCTTATTGAAAAGTTGTAGTATCGCCCCTCTCTCTTTTTTTTTGAGAAATGTAACCTTTAAATTGTATTTCATGTATCTTCATATGATATGTTAACATTTTTAGAATGTAAAGTACGCTTGCGTTTGATGAAATTAATCATAACCATTATTTTAAAAAATGATATTGTTTTCGCTCGGGGCTTTTCTTCTATATTTTTTAATTTCTTGTCTTTTTGGGGGGTCAAACTTGAACTTAACCGGGGTAATAATCTGTAAAACGCTATGAGAGGGTCTTCGGTCCTGGAAAGCGCTATATAAGAACTAGCTATTATTATTATTAATTTTAAGTCGAGGGGGATTCTGGTCTTGAGGGGGGGGGGGGGGGGTGCCGCTGAAGCCTCGAAACCCCTACCCGTTTTTGAAGGGTTTCGGGCGGATTTTTCTCGAAGTAAATCCCATTTTTTAAAGTTCTTTGAAAAAGCGGACCCATGTTTAGGGAATTTTTGTGTGAAAAAGTTACCCATTAGAGCGCCACCCCCAGGTATGTCTTAATATATGAGTACCCCCCCCCCCCCACCCAGTTGATTTATAGTCGTAGCAGAGCGTTGCTAAAGATTTTAAAACGATAAGCTTATATTGTAAGCATAAGAGAATATACTACACTAAATAATGAAGCTGTGAACTGGCATTTAAATGATGAACATATTTTTTGCTGTATGCACACACCATTCCCTTCCACCCGTCCTATCTTTTTTTCTCTCTCTCTCTCTCTGTCTCACCGCATCAATCAGCGTAGGGAAGTGCTAATATGCATTTCGTATCATTTCAAAACAGCGCCAACGGGCTGAAAGGGAAAGTGTACTTGAATATAATAACCCGACAATAATCATCTCTCGGAACACACCGTCACCTCTGCACACGGCACCAGCGTTACGTCGGACCTAAGAATCCACCAATCAGAGACGTGATTGGTATGATATTGCGCGGACATGCCGAAAGTAGCACACCGATCATGCCGTGTCAACCAACTAGCGCATTTCCATACACTTTTTCCTCCCCCATTGTCAAGTATATAACATTTTTATACACATCTATTTTTGTTTTTAACCTACCCGTAATTTCCCCATTTTTATCCATCCCCTTTTAACGACATTATCGTCCAAAAGTCACTTGTAAATCATGGGACTGTGGTTTTTCTTCGGAGAAGATTCGCAGCGTATGAGCACGGAGTAATCTTTTTTTATCTACCTCCCGTAGCCGTGAATGAAATTGCTATCGGATTCGTTACCCGCTACGAGCGAAAACGTGTGCCGTCATTTTGATTCGTCGCCCGAGCCTAACCGAGCTAAAGTCAGATTTTCGCGAGGATTGTCGTCCACCGGAGCAAAGTTTCCTACCCGACCATTGGCTTTCACCATTTTTTTCTTTACCAGAGAAAAGGAGAGTGAGAAAGAGAGAATCGGAAGACAGCAGAACGTAGAGCGAGTGTTTTAAGCCCCGTACATTACCCGAAGCTGGAAGGCTAGTCGAGTCGTTACGAGGCGGGCGAGATCAGGCGAGGATCAACATTAATCCGCGACTAGGTTTTCGTCCCTGTGACGGGACTAACTCGGAGGGAGAGGGAGAGAGTGAGCGAGAGAGGGAAATAAAAAAAAAAGTCGATAAGCCTTTCGTATACAACCCAGCCTAAAGACGAACAAAAAACATGAACACCATCCGCGCATTCGAAAGCTTCGTCGAAGCGAGCAACGCACGGAACACCCAGCCGAGTTCAGCGACGTCGCATAACGACATCGGGCATGAGACCCCCTGTGATCGAACTCCTCACTGCTCGACGATAGGACATCAGAGCACACCAGACAGTGTCGGTAAGTAGTATACCCTCAATTTCTCCTTTACTCCAACAATCCATTTTTCTTCACCTGCCCGTCGATTCTGATCATCATCTGTTTCAATTTCCAAACCACTCAGTTTCATTTTCTTATCAATCAATATATTGATTTCATACTTCAACGAATATCCGCAATGTCACATTTATTTGTTGGACCTATCTAGTATGATCCAACCAAAGCAATTTGTAATTGCATGATAGATATATCGTGCCTTTTCTTGTTTATATTTTGCTCCTCATCACAATGTAGACAGATGATCCTATCCATGATTACTTTCTCATTTATTTATCAGTTAAAACACTATTTTTCATTTTCATTTTCGTTCTCTCCGTCATCTGACAAACAAAGATATATTATTATTCTTATCATCAATTTCATATGGCTTACATTGTGTCCAAAAGGCATTACACATGGAAAGAATCCCTTTAGCATGTGTTTATTGAAATTTATCAAAATCAATCAGTAAATACTTTGATATCAACTCTTTGATATGTAAATTTTGGTTATTTAATGTTTTATAAATTTCTTTTTTTATAATATTATATAATTTACGTTTTCTTTTGGTAAAAACAAACTAAAACTAAATATGATAAGAATCATAATTTTGAACAAAATGAAATGATATCGACTTCAGCTATTTAAAGCGACCCCTTCATTGTAATGTATTGGATTCCATTCACTGACTCCATTTCTTAATGCTTCTTCTGATATTTAAATAGTTGTATACCCAGTATCCTTTCTCTAATATCTATTTTTTAAAGTAATGAAGCTAATTAAAGTTAAAGAGTAAACATTAGAACTGAATACTATTCGTTGATATTTGCCTCTTTCCTCTTGAATTTAGATTCGAATTCATAAATCGCAATCCGTGATTGAGTTTGGATAGTTCATTATTTCAGTTAAATCAGACACTAAATATGAGGTTACCGACTTCAAGATATGCATGCATAACAAATAAAATATGCTTTATACATATATTTAAAGAATTAGTATTATTTTGAAACTGATAATAATCAAAGTTTTAGCCAATGCCAATGGAGCCATTTTATCCAATTCTAATAAATTTCAAAATTAGCAAAACATAATTTCATTAGAGGAATTTTAATAATTCCAAGACTAGATCTTGCTCTTGCTTGCAAAAATAGTTACATAGCAGCAGCAACAACAACAAGACAACAACAACTACTGTTACTACCACTACTATTACCTCCAATATTACTACTACCACTACTATTACTACTACTATTACTACTACTTCTACTACTATGACTACTACCACTACTATTACCACTACTATTACTACTACCACTACTATTACTACAACAACTACTACTACTACTACTACTACTACTACTAATTCTACTACTATTACTATTACTACTACCACTACTATTACTACTACTACTACTACTACTACTTCTACTACTACTACTACTACTACTACTACTGCCCAGGGAAAAAATTAATATTTATTTTTCGGGGGCTACTTTTCAAGCTTGCATGCATGAAAATAACAATTTAAAATTTGTTTTGCATTGAACTCTATGCAAATTTACAGGGGCTATTTTCTGATTTTCGGGGGCTATTTTGGGCATTTCGGGGGCTAATTCGCCCCGAGCCCCCGTGTATTTTTTTCACTGCTACTGCCACCACGACCACGACCACCACCCCTACCACCACCACAACTACTAATACTATTTATTCTCCTCCTCTACCTTATCTTCCTCCTACTGCTATTCCTCCACCTACTACTACTACTACTACTACTACTACTACTGCTAATACTATTTTACTACTACTACTACTACTACTACTGATACTACTACTACTGATACTACTACTACTGATACTACTACTACTTCTACTACTATATTACTACTACTACTTACTATACTATTCTACGACGACGACGACGACGACGACTACTACTACTAATACTACTACTGCTACTTATACTACTACTACTACTACTACTACTACTGCGAGTAGAGGTCTTGCTTTTCCAATATGTATATAGTCTAAAGACCAAATTATATGGTTAGTTTTCAATAGTTATGCTGTGATATTCAAATCGTTTGGTATTTTACTCTACCACCAATTTCTCTCCGAGCCTATATAATATGTTAAGTTAAATCTATGGGGGATTGGCATCATACAATATACGTTCGTCATATCATCACAAATTTCAAAATATTAGAGAGACGTTGAAGACTTTTCATTGAAATCGTTTTGAAATTCTATATTCAAAGTAAAAGAAAGGCTGTACATTAGGACCTTGTGTGTGGCAGATATTTAGCATTCTACTTGGCAAGTTCTATAATAAGCTTTACTACTACTACTTCTACTACTTCTACTTCTCCATTTTATTTTACATCATTATTTTTTTTCCGACGCAATTTTCAAATATGGCTAATGATACTTTGTGCAATTACCTTCTTTGAAGAAAAAAAAACTCGAAAGAAATTAGTTTGCATCATACATATTTTTAATATTAAACGAATTCTATTGTGTCCCCCCCCCCCCAAAAAAAAAAAAAATCACTTTGATAAATAATTCCCATCCAGAATGCAGGATGACATAGCCTATTCACCTTACATTCTTGATATAAATTACGTACCCTGGGCTATAGAGAGTCTACACATCTTTGTTGACTGATAACGAAATCACTACATTAATGTTTGTGGATACATAAATACATATAATAGCATTAACAGATACAGATACAGAATATCATAATATCCCTCTTGCCCCCTTCCCCCTCTGACTGCAATGCGGATGTCATCCCCAGAGGGGGATACAAATCGGATCTTTAAAAACCACTATTTCACGCTCCTTCGCTTCCGCAATTGCCCCCTCTAACATTCAGCCTTGCTTGACCGATATTATAGGCGATGAATCACGCGGCATCCAGGCCGAGTGCATGGTGGTGTAGCAAATTTTCACCGATTTCCAAATCAGTGTGTATAGTCGCTGCCGATTTAATAATAAACACTTTTAATTTGATTTTAATTGATTATGACCAAAGTCTATTCCATGAGCGATATTGTTATTTGTTAAACCACTACAAAGGATGAATTGTAATGAGATTTTTACATTGTTGACCTGGGTTTGGTACCGATAAACACAAATCTTTTTACCGTTCCTCAAAAGTGTACACAATTTTCTTTTTTAAATCATAACTTGATTTGATTTATTTGATTTATTTGATTTATTTATTTCTGTTTGATTTTCTTTTGCATTTTTACAAATATATAACAAACAAATATTGCAAATTTACACATGACAAAAGAATATATGTAGAATAAAGTAAGGCTGGCTGTAACTAATCGAAAACATCAAACAGGAGGGTTGACAAAATAAGCAAAGCTTGATAGTATGACCACCCTCAAAGGATACATAATAATACAAATATGGAGGAACAAAATATTGTTAAAGGGGAAAAAGACAGAAAAAGAAGGGGAAAAAAAAGAAAGAAAGAGGGGATGCACATCAATATTCACAGACTTATGTGGTAGTTGGATTTTAATTTTAACTTTGTCTAATAACATTATCTAATAACTTTATTTGATATAAACTGTGTAGTTCCGTGAATACCACAGAAAAGCAATGACTACTGGCCAGAATATGAATATCGTGCAAGCATTGTTTTCAATGTGCTTACGCGTATTACCTATCAATATTTTTTCGTGAATGAAACTTGATAATTATCATTAACCTCATTATCACCGTTATCAGTCGTAGAACGTGGTATCACTGAAACTGTTTTTAATTATTATCGCATTAGTATTATATAGATTGCTATTCGTGTATTAGTCCTGCGTAATTATTGATTCTCTTAATACTTTTGTATGTGTCACTTAAACTCGATGTGCAGTTTCTGAATGTGATAGCTTATAAGGCATCGAAGGAATTGCCCGTCAATATTGTAACATTCTTTTAAAATATTGAATTTTTGATTTCGAAAATGAAATAAAACAAAAACTTAAAGGGTATATATTTTACGGACTAAAAGAAAAGATGAAGAATGAATTAGACCGAGGAAAATAGAGATATGAAAAACATTATTGAGGTATTATGATAGCAGTAAATAAGGGTTCGTACCGAACTACCCAAGCAATATTTTTATTTATATTTATTATCATACCATTTATTTTTCTTCGATGCTTATAGAACTCATACAATTTTGAGAACCTATTCCAACAAACTCCCACGGGCTTAGCTCAGAAGTGAATACACGCTCAGCTTTGCGGAGGAACAAACACGGCGTTGATTGACAAAGAAATGAAGTTGTTCTTTTTGACATTATCTTGTTTCCCTAACGTTTAAGAATAACGAACCGCGAGAAAATTCGACTCGAGCAATTTGCATTATACCAACCGCTCTCTAAATAGCCCGAGGGGACAGCCTCCTAACGGATCGCTGGCCCGCTGGAACCCCGTGCAATTGCCGGGCGCGTTTGGCTAGCCGCATGGAGTTGGTTGCGCGTATTTCCCCTTGTAAAACACGAGTCTCAAATCGAACATATTGGCGGTGGAATGGAGTGAATCTTATCTGATTTTCTAGTCGCCCCGAGTGTCTTTTTCCCCTCTTGCATATTTTTGATGGATGATACCCTTTGCCTGAAATTACCGTACATGTTTATCAATCAATATCAGCATATGTAGCAGTCGAAAAGTGACATATATATATATAGTCGTTTCATAATCTCCATAAATATGATAAAAAACGCCATGTATTAAGGATTTTGTTTCTTTTAAAAGACAAACTTCTCATGCATGCTAATATATATATTAGAATTAAAATCATCGGTAAGAAAAAATAATAAATATATAGATAGTTCACTATTTAACGCTAGACATATTCTTTACCTGCATATATTCCAGTATGATTGTTTAATATGCATACTTACAGATAATTTATGCTTATTCAACTGCAATAATAAGCACACAGAGCTATTTAATAAAAAGTACATATAC